GTATTCGTGTATATATTTTGTTACCGGATTAAGCCTTATTGGATGAAATCTTTTTTATTTCCTAACAGACTGCCTCCCTTGTGGCAGCTGTTTTATTTATATAAAAACCGATGCTGGGGATAATAGAAATCACAGAGTAATGGGTTCTCTTTTTATGCATCTGAACTTTATGTATAACGTGGTTTAGGGCGCGGTCCGGAATACATTTGTGGGGGTGATAGAAAGATATTTCATATAATGTTGAAATGAGATGTATACTTCAACATGTCGCGTCAGTTCCCTGTACATATCTTTGATATAGACTGTACTTGGTTCTCTTTTTATGCATCCTGCGGGGTTTGGGCACATTTGTTTTATTCATGAGCATACTTTTCGCTCACTTCCCTGTACATATAATAGACTGTATGGAGCTGGGCAGATTTTATTCATTGCATTTTTCCTAGTTAATCTGGAGCTGGCCGTGCATTTGTATAGGGTTAGGTTGTTTCTTCCCCCTTGATCCAGTTCTGCTATTCAGCAAAATATTTCGAAAAGGCATCTGGTGCGAGCAACCATCGCTTGCTGGGGCGACCCGTAGGTCTGTTCCTTATTGTTTAAGTGTCAAGTCTGTCTCTGTTGCACTGTCTTGTGGTAGTATTGATACTCGTCCGAACCATCTCATCTTTGTCTCTTGATGCAGATCAATACTGGTCCCGTCACAGCTTGTTTTCTCATATTACATTTAAGACTAGTAGACATTTGTATCCTTTTGGGTTTTCTTTGTCGTTTTGCTGTCAATGTCCACATATAGCATTGGCAGCATGTTGTCGGTAGAATGAATACTGCATTGAAAATGTTTGTGTCGGTTGTCACACGTTTGCTGTGCAATATTAATGACAGCTCCTAATGCTTTACGAGCTTTATGTTTATTTTCTTCAAGTGGCTTGTCGGCTGGTATGAACTGTATCTTTTCATAACTGTCATCTTTTAACATTTATGATTGACTATCGGCCATCATGATTTAGCCATCGAATATATTGTAATGGGAACTTTACAAATTAGTAGTTAAAAAAAAACAGGGCTTCTACGGATTATCATTGCTGATCTGGCATCTGGATGGAGCCGTAAAGTATATAGTGATGGGAACTTTACAAATTAGTAGTAAAAAATACCTCAAGGCTTTGAATTAATTAAATTGCTTTTATCATTGCTTATCTGGCACAGGGCCAGATTTAGACCTAAGGGGGTCCTAAGCTGTACAAAGCTCTGAGGCCCCTACACCCCTACCATTTTAAAATTACAGTAGCATATCTCAGAACATTTATAAAATATAAATGCCTTTTAAATGCTGGATATTATTAATGAAAATATATTGTTCATTGTTTAGTTAGTGAAATAATAAGGAATATGTTTGCAAAATCACAGAAATTATATTACATAATACTCTAAATGAAAATTGCATTTAAAATGTTCTGAAAGAAAATTGCATTTGTGAAAAATTTGGATTTTTTGTAGAATAAGTAGCTCTGGGCACTTTACACATTATAAGTTAAAAATACAAGGGCTTTTAACGAATTAGTAGTAAACAACAATTTACACATCGGGGAGCCACGTTAGCGCAGTCAATAGGAGACTCCAGCTGCAACTCGCTGCAGCTCACGGTCGGTGTTGGAAACCGGGTTCCCGGGATTCACCCAGCCTCTAGGTAATGGGTACTTGAGTTAACACTGGGACAGTGTTTCCCAAACTGTTCTTAGTCGAGGCGCCTTTTTTCAATTACAATTTTCCACTGCCCTCTAATCTAAGTAAACGCATGACGCTTTGGATGTAAGAAAACTCGTGTATCTTCGAATATTCCTCGGCGCCCCTGTAAAGAGGTTACGGCTTCCCGGCGCGCCGTGGCGCACAGTTTGGGAATCACTGCTCTAGGCTAAATCGAGGAACGTTGCTGTAGCTACGGAGTTGCCTGCGGACAGCGACACAGGCGGACAGTTTCTTATCAGCTGTCAGTACTGGTGGCAGAGCACTTATGGTTTATAACCGTGTGCAATGATGCTGGTTCACATCTCCCGACTTTGCTTTTTCTAACAATTCACACATTTTGAGGTAAAACTAAAATTATGATGGGGCGTTTTACAACTCATTAGAATAAAATAGTAACTGGTCTTCTTCTTCTGCCTTTCTATCCCCCAATGGAGCATAGGCCCCCAACCAACTCACGCCAAGTCGTTCTATCCATCGCCATTACATGAAGCTCTCCCCATGTCCTTCCCATCTTTCTAACTTCATTCTCCAGCTTTCTCCATGTGTTTTTTGGCCTTCCTTTATTCCCATTCCCCTGTGGGTTCTAATGCAAAGACATTCTGGTTATGCAGTTCTCCTGTTTTCTCAGTGTGTGTCAAATCTAGCGCCAGCATCTTTCCCTCACCTCTTGTTCCACTGGAGCCTGTTTAGTTCTCTCCCAAAGCTCTACATTAGTTATTCTATCATACCATTTAATTCCCTCTATTCTTCGCAGGTACGAGTTAATGAATGTCTGTAATTGATTAGTAATTACCTTAGTTGTTCTCCATGTTTCCGCCCCATACAAAAGTACTGATTTGACATTAGAATTAACAATTTTTAGTTTAGTATGCTTTATAAATAAATCATTCACCACGATTCTTTGGGCCACCATTTGCTGTTGACTGTATGATCAGATCCCCTCATCTGTGACAGTCAGATGTCTGTTGTAACTATGAGTTGGTAGTAAATGAATAATACAGAGGTTGAGTTAATTCAGAGCAATATTGCATGCCCCGTTCACATAAACTCAAGTTCACTTGTACTCACGGTTCAACACAGCTATAAATCACCACCATGATGTGCCTTGCCGATACGTGTAGGCAGTAAAGTTTTGCTGTCTTATACAGTTGTCTGCAAGCTGTGTCTCCTCCTCTTAGTCTTTCTCTTCCTTCCCCTCTTCTTCCTCCTCCTCATCCCCTCCCCCTCATCTTCCCTTCCCCTCCCTTCATTTTTTAAATTCTTTTTTTTTTAAATTATGATTATGATTATTATTATTATTATTAACAACTATGAAATGAGGTACAAATGAATAACTGTGTCTCCTCCTCTTAGTCTTTCTCTTCCTTCCCCTCTTCTTCCTCCTCCTCATCCCCTCCCCCTCATCTTCCCTTCCCCTCCCTTCATTTTTTAAATTCTTTTTTTTTTAAATTATGATTATGATTATTATTATTATTATTAACAACTATGAAATGAGGTACAAATGAATAACTGTATACAAGGAGTGGAGGGAAAGGGCAGAATATTAGACAGGCCTGCGTGCCCAATTCCTAACCCTTTAAAAGTGAAGTTTGTTCATTCTTCATTCTCTTTTTTTATTCCTCCTCTTTCTCTTCCTCCTCCTTTCCCACTACCACCGCAACCTTAATAATCCTGTTGTGACATTATGCATCACATGAGTGTTGAAGTCTAGCCCTTTGTTCCATTCTGTCCCATGCAGTGCTCCCGATATCATGGATTTCCTCTCTCACCAATGTCTCTCTACCCAGTCTTCATTTCCTCTGTTTTTTTGTTTCCCATTTCACTGCCTATTTGGTGATTTCTTTGTTTTTTTCTTCTTAGATGTACCCAGTATATTGTCAACTTTTTAGCTTATAACTAAATGAATAAACTTTATTTTTCAAGGGTCATAAATTGAGTCTGTAGGCCTGTCTTACATTCGTCCCTTCCAGCCACATCTTTCACACATCATTTGTATTTTTATCTACAAAGCATGTTGTGTTCATATATCAAAACACATGGTATAAGTTTAGAGCTGTGGTTTCTTAACATGTGGGTCTTGACCCCTGTTTTGGGTCGAACAACCCTTTTACAGGGGTTTCCTACAACCATCGGAAAACACATATCCATTGAAGAAGTAGCAATGAAAATAATTGTATGGTTGGGGAGTCGCCACAAAACGAGGAACTGTATTAAAGGGTCACGGCATTAGGAAGGTTGAGAACCACTGACCTAGAGCATGACATGGACATGCTTGATCAGGTTTTGCTACCTGGTGTCTTTACTCCCCAGGCATTTGCTATAGAACCACTTTTACATGTGTTGACACAGAGACTTGATTTACCCAGACATGTCCTAGATGTTACCATTCTCATCTTTAATCAGAGATATGGCAGTGCAGCTGACCCTGTGGCCATGGCCTTCGATTTTTCTTCTTCTTCTTCTTAGGGGTTCCCTGGCTGAAAACTCCAGCAGAAAGTCCTGATTGTTCATATACTTCTTGACTTTGGTGTTGTTCCAGACTTGAGTTTTGAATACATATCTGTTTGACAGATCTGGCTTATTTGCGTGCAGATAGTTTGTTTCTCGCTTTGCAGGCAGATACACTCTGACTTTGAAAGAAATGTTGATTTTATCTATGTTGAGTAGGTCCACAGTTGGGCACCTGTTAAGAGAGGCATGGATAGACCCTGACCAGTATGAGCCCTAGTTCTGGTACACCACCTCAGGTGGTTCAGCACCCAGCATTGAATTCCTATCAAAGCATGAACTGACCTAGGTTCTGTGGTCAACCAGGCCAGGAATAGGTACCAGGAAGTGTCTTGGGGTAATACAGGCAGTTAGCAGGACCTATTGATTGTTTATTTTTCAATTAAAACGTATCTTTAGCTCCATATTGGGAGCCACCATGATGTAGGGGCTAGATGCTCACCTGCCAATATAAAAGATCATGGATTCAAATAAGAATTGTTCTGGACCATTGAAAATATGACATTGGCTGTCATGTCAACCCAGCCTTTCATTGGTACCAGTTAAAGACCACATCATTCACAGAGTGCTGATTGGTCTATACAATTTAGGTCTATCACTATGTGCCCAATATGCCTGAAGGTGTGGAAAAGGGTCCTTTAATTTAGCACCATATGCCTAATGCAGCTTACGGTAAAGACATGGTTCTTTACTTTTGCTGACTTCTTGAATCTGTTTGCAGACTGGATTCCCAACACCTGATGATGAAGGATTTGAGAACGATTGGCTGAACTCATTCTTGGATGACCCAGTTCTCAATGACAGGATGATGACAGATGCCATGCAGCCTCCATTAATTAAATCGGAACACAGTTACAGTATCAATGACAATGAGCCTGGGTCACCACTTCAGCTACAGAGCCATGAGGGTGAGTTGCGTTTTTTGTAACTCTAAGTACTTTGTGACTATCACAGAGCTTTCTAAACTTTTCATATTGGTCACACACTTTTAGATTAGCATAATTTTATGAACAGTAATTCAGTCTTCTATCACACCAGAGGTTAAACTAACCGCTTAAAAGAGATACGGACACATGTATAAATTATGTTTGCGCAACACACCATCACACTGAAGCTGACACGCTAATGTCTCACCACTCAGTTTTTACAGCTCTCATTCATTCATTCATTCAGTAGCATGTCCCTTGCGGAACCTCGCTGCCATAACAACCCTCCGGAAAACCTTCCTATCCTGAGCAAGATGTCCTGCGTCTGATACACCCATCTGGAGATCATCTGCCACATCCTGCACCCATCTTCTCCTTGGCCTTCCTCTTCCTCTCTTCCCAGGTATATACCCCTCCATTATGGTTCTCTCTAGACTTCTATGACGTTTCAAGTGACCAAAATATTTCAATTTTCTTTGTTTTATTGTCTTTACTAGCCAACCCTCTTCAATATTCAGCTCTTGAAGTATGGATGCATTTGTTCTTTTCTTTACCCAAGATATTCTTAGAACCTGTCTGTAACATTTATATTCAAATGCATTTATGCGCTGTTCCGCTTGTTTAGTAAATGTCCAGGTCTCACAGGCGTATGTTGCAATGGGAAAGAGAAAGTTTATTAACAAATTGGAAAAATATACAGTATATGTAGCCATTGAATCACCGGTACATCCTTTGTTTGTCTGTTTTAATTGGTCATGTAGAAGTTGACATGTACTTTGTTTTTCCAATCTTTACATGCCTGTATCAGATCTGCGTGACAGCACAGGGTGATCTAGAAATGTGACCTTAGCTGTTATGGGGTGATCATTTTCAGGTGAAATTGTGAAACCTCGTCTGTCAGCTGCTGTCTAGTAGGTTAGCTGCATATCCTTTACAGGACATTGCAGAACCAACCCCAGCAGCCCCTGGCCGTTGTGTGGTTTCTCTAGGCAAATTTACCTCCAGTTGTTAGCTGTCTAGTAGAGAGAAGTAAAACACAATACAGGGGACATGTAAAGAGACCTATCAGCCTTTGATTCCAAAACCCTGCCAGTGAGCTCCTTCCAGGTGTCAAGAACACTGACCTGATGAAAGACTGAAGTGATCAAGTGAGATGGGGGACTATGACCACCCTTAAATTTCTGCAGGGCACATACAAATGTGTATATTTATTGGTTTTCTTATCTCCATCTGTCTGTTCCTACCTTATCTCTGTAATCAGACTGTTACTGGCGTATCTGCAGTTAGTGAAGTTGTCAGTTAATCAGTTTTATTTGTCTGTCTTCTTTTTTCTCGTTTGTCCTCTTTTTCTTCTTATTTTTCCTCTTCTTCGTTTGCTTTTAAAAGGGTTGGTAGCATATTATGTTGTGGTTTACAGCTGAGCTGTGATAAATGAGATCATTTTTTGAGGATCATTGTTTTTAAGATTCAACATCACATTCATTGGCCATCATCCTCACAGACAGACAATGATCTTTGCATATCTGTTCTCTGACTTTGGCAGTAAGTTTATCATTATGAACAGAAATTGGGATATATCCGCCCAGCTTCATTTTGGTCTTTTCAAAACCAATTTTGAATCCATAAACAAGATATGCATATTCCCTCATAAAGTAATCTCATCCATTTAACCATCTCAGAAGCACTTTTCAAAACTTTAAGTAGCAATAATTTCATTCTTGGCTCCATGCTTCATACGTCACTGTGAAACTTTCACTAGCTAAACGAAGTGGCAGGTTAAGTATTAGGTTAAGGTTTAGATGATGGATCAAGATCATGACACAAGGGCAGTAACCCATAATTGCTACGTTCTACTTCTGACTCAAGCCTGAGTTCAAAGAATCTCAGTCCAGTGCACGAACTCCTTAGCATCGGCTAGGATCCTAAATTACTTTGGGTAGATTTTTAACTGCAAATTTTGACCGGGCAGCGCCATTAGACTACTCTTTTTTTGATTTCCAACTGCCACAGGATTTTTTACATGCACAGCAATACACACGGGCGTCTGATCTTACTACCAAGAGACCAGAGGAAATTACTAGAAGTCCATGGGACAAAATCCCAGCCTTCACCATGGCTTAAACGTGGGACCTCCAGCACTAGAGGCTGACACCATGCCTCGAGACCACACAGCCCCCCCCCCCCCCCCCCTCTTTCCCTCCCAAAGGTTACTTATTGTTTATTCAAGGGGGCATGAAAACTCTGCCAGATAATAGATAAATTATGCTTTTTTTTTTAAGAGGACATGCCTTGCTCCCTGTATCAGTGGTTATAATAGGTTAGGGACCTCATTTTCCTCCTAACTTGACATGTTGACGATATGGTTCTAGGTACATTGTATCATATCCAAAAATTAAGACACTCAGTGACTTCTGTGTTCAATATTGTAACAGCTGCTTTACCTTCCTGAGATTGTCTTATGTTTATTTGATAACCCAGATTAAATCATCATAGATGTGACGTAGACGATTCACCTCCCCAGTGAAATACAGTCACAGAAAACAAAGTGAAAGTTCCTGCTCAAAAGCCTTCATCAGCATACAAAACACATTGACAGTGATACAGCTGCGTAAAATGACTACATTTAAAAAAGAACTTTTTTGGATGAAGTTGACTGGCTGTTGAAATATCAATGTACATGGGCACACAAATGTTTTTGACAGCATACCCTCATGGAGTCATGGATAGACAGTGGACATGAGACTGTAGGTTAAGGCTGACCTCTATTTAAGCAAAGTCCTGAGAAAATATAACCCTGAGAATGGATTTGAGCCCAAGACAATCTGGCTGGTAGATAATTGCACTAGCCAGTGTGGTGTTGGGAACTACTGTAACATAGTGGCTAAGTGATTACCTGATGATCTGAAAGTCTTGGGTTCAAATTTGTGCTAGGCAGATTTTGAAACAGAATTTTCTTTTTATTTACCTTGGCCATCCAGCTGACCCACCTAAAATAAGTCAAAATAATTTTTTTTTTACAGTTAAGGATCTTTTCCATGCTTTCATGCAAATTGGGGAAATAAGGCTAGACCTATATGTTATAGACCAATGGGCACTCGGTGGGTGATATTAGTCAACATCACCCTGACCGCCTTTCCCTAACAGTACTTTAACTGGTACCCATTTAAGGCTAGGTTGAAATGGGAGCCAAGGTCAATTTTGAAATGTCTAAATAGATACCAGGGAAATTTCATGGAAAGTAAATATGGCTGGTGTCATGCGGAGCAAGTCGCCTGTTAAGTGCGGATTGGTCTATACAAATCTGAGTCTATCCTCATATGTCATATTCTTCACTAAAATGGAGAAAAAAAATGTGGGTGCTGTATTAATATCCTACCCCAAATCGGGGAATTTACAGATCATTGGACAGTCTGATATTTCAAGGGGTGGTAGATAGGTTGCATGCAGTCTTAGGACCTAGCCTGCATTCTCTCGTGGGACGTAGGTGGGTTGAAGTTAGGTCCAGTTCCAGTTGTGTTGGGGTCGTTGAAAGCATCAGAAAGCCGGGAAACCCAGTCTTGCCACCCTCTAAAATGTTGGACTGTCCTGTGATGTCATCTGGGGTAGTATATTAATAAGGAACCCAAATTTTAAAAAATGAGCTTCAACTCACTTATCTTTACTTACTGTGCTGTGCAAATTTTAAAAAAAAAAAAGTAATTTGTTTATGTTTAAAAGCAGTTGTTGAACCTTCTATCCTTAATATCTTTCCTTCCATGTAATTTTTTCTGTTTAATTTCTCCCCAGACATGGACTCCCATTTGTTTTCAAGCAACACTGCTCTGGATCTGACCATGAAACCATCTTCCTCATCCCATGGTACATGCGACACAACACATCCTGATGCTTTCTTAACAGTGACAACCACAGCTTCCATGCTCAACATGACGAGGCAGCCAACCATCATAGTCACAACATCCACACCCACATCAGCAGAATCGTCTTCTTTTTACACCACTGATAATATCACATTCCCCACCATCCAAATTAAACACGAGCCTGGGGACTTTTTAGATCAAATACATGAACAAAATGGTGAGTGTTGTGATTTCAGGATCTATGAGTGTGTGATGTTTGGTTGGCTTGTTGATTATTTTTTGTTAGTTAGTTGTAGTTCCAATTTCACAGAAAATGGGTCACCCCATAGTTTCTGCATTTCTGTGCTAGAGAAAGCGCACGGAATGCCCATCACTGTTCCTTGTTTAAAAAAAAAATTGAAACAGACTGCAGTCTCGGCAAAGCCAACAGCATATACACATGTTAAATGCATAAGGCAGCATTAGAAATGCTAACATGAGAACAGTTCATCACTAGAATTGTAGTTCGCCATCGATGGAAGCAACAGTTAAAGTAAATCACCAGTTTCGTAAGTAAGCAGTATTGTATAAAGCAACAGTCTACTCAACATTTTGTGAGTCTGCAGAAACTCCACAGTCCCTGTGAAAGTCCCCTCAGAGATCTTCAAAACAACTGCACTCATGAATTGAAAGAGGGCTGACCGAATCAAGCAACCTCTAGAGCACAAGATAAACAGTGTAACTTCTTTGTCACAGTTACTTCTTAAATATGAAGAGAAATATCCCTCTGAGTTAAACTGGAAGCATGGTCTATTGAAATAGAAAAGAAAAAAGTCTCATCATTGAGTCCAGTTTGGGATGCAGAGGTGCTGAACCACTAGCAGTGGTGCACTAGGACTAGGCTCACACTGGTCAAGCCCTGCCTATACCTCTCTGTGGTCATCCCAAAACTGATTCCCAGCTAGGAGCTTGGCCAGTTCACATGGGATCAGTGTTGTTTTTAGAGTCTTAAGTGCATCTGCCTGAGAGGCAAGGAACACAACAGTCTGTATATAAATAAGCCAGATCTGTTAAATGGATGTGCACACAACACTCAAGACCTAGAACAAGACCGAAGTCCAGCAGTGGATAAACAACAAGGACTTTCCGCTGGCGGTAACAGTCAGTAAATGTGAAAAAGAACAAGAAGAGGAGTCTAGTTTAATTCTTTCAGTCTCAGTCAGTCATAGCAATGGAGGCAATATGGACAACACTAAACTATACTTCTTCTTCTTCTTTGCATTCACTGGCTATAAACTCCGGTGGAAAGTTCTGGTTGTTCGTCCACTTCTGGACTTTGGTCATGTTCCAGAAATTGATTTTTTGCGTGTGTATCTGTTTCACAGATCTGGTTTATTTGTATGCAGACTATTAGCTCTTCGCCTCTCAGGCAGATGTACTCGAACTTAGAAGGAAACGCCCCTAATTAGGCAACTTTGACAACTCACTTGTTATGGGTGCAGTGGATCTATTCTTTTTTCCCCCCTAAATGGGGCCATGGAACTTACAAGAGGAGTTCTACTTTCACATAGTCCAAATACCCAACCCCTTTAGGAAACAGTTACATTGTCAGAGTGTTTCAGTGTGTCCTGACTAAACATAACAGGTACAGAAACATAGCAATAACTTGAACAAATGTTAAGGACACTTTTTGTGTCACTGACACACTGGGGCGTTTGATGCTACACATAATTTAGTAGACTCAGTGGCTAATGTAGTCAGCATCATGCCGGGCACTTTTACTTCCCAGGACATCTCTTGGTACTCATTGTAGGCTTGCTTCAATTAGGAGTCAAGTCAGTTTGTTAAAAACGTCCCAGTGCAAGATTATCCTAAGACCTTCAGCTCGGCAGGCAAGCATCTAGTTTCTACGTTACCGACACTCCTACAATATAAAGTTAGTTAGTTGCGTATCCTTTTCAGGACATTGCAGAACCAAACCCAGCATTTTTTTGTGGCTGTTGTGGTTTATTTTAAGGCAAATTTAGGTTCAGTAGTTTGCCGTTGCTTTCTGGACGGTCGGCTTCTCGATACCACTGTCGAAAGCAATGCAAGACGCATGGCCCACAGCTGGGATCGAACCCAACACCCCGGCATTACGAAGCTCGTTCGCTACGCCACAGACACTGACATAATATGAAGTAGCTAGACATAAAATAAAATATGTTGGGGGTAAGGGGGAGGGGGGGGGGGGGGGCAGTTCAGTGTAGGGAGGAGAAAAGATGCACAATACAAAACCCTCTGTTTAACTGTTAAATCATATTTGGTTTTAATCTAGGGACTTCTCGTGCTCGGATCCCCTCCTCAGTAAATCCCGCAATATGTAATGGCCCACGACACCAGTTCTGTTTTTATTTCTTATTCCTCTTTGGCTTCTGGCATAGTGATATTGTCTGGCCGCTCTTCTTGCAACATTACTGCAGTCCCTCCTGCTTACATAAGACACACACAAAATGCAACTGCTGTAGCCTAGAGGCTAGGCGTTTACCTGCTAACATGAAGGTCTTGTGTTTAAATCTGCATTGAGTCAGATTTTTTTTCATTACCGACCTTGGCTGCCAGATCAAGCTAGCCTTAAATGGGTACCCAGTAATGTCTGGGAGGTAAAGGCGGTCCAGGTTATCTTTATTCCATCGGCAACAGAGTTTTAATTGATCTGTGAAAATATGAGTCTAGCATAATTTTCCTGATGCATCACTGTCGTACAAAAAATGAGTCTTTTTATTTTTTTACTTATACATAACATAGCCCATGTTGATAGATGCACATAACATATCACATGTTGATTGATGCACATAACATATCACATGTTGATTGATGCACATATCACATGTTGATTGATGCACATAACATATCACATGTTGATTGATGCACATAACATATCACATGTTGATTGATGCACATAACATATCACATGTTGATTGATGCACATATCACATGTTGATTGATGCACATAACATATCACATGTTTATTGATGCACATATCACATGTTGATTGATGCACATATCACATGTTGATTGATGCACATAACATATCACATGTTGATTGATGCACATATCACATGTTGATTGATGCACATAACATATCACATGTTGATTGATGCACATATCACATGTTGATTGATGCACATATCACATGTTGATTGATGCACATATCAGATGTTGATTGATGCACATAACATATCACATGTTGATTGATGCACATAACATATCACATGTTGATTGATGCACATATCACATGTTGATTGATGCATATAACATATCACATGTTGATTGATGCACATATCACATGTTGATTGATGCACATAACATATCACATGTTGATTGATGCACATATCACATGTTGATTGATGCATATAACATATCACATGTTGATTGATGCACATATCACATGTTGATTGATGCACATAACATATCACATGTTGATTGATGCACATATCACATGTTGATTGATGCATGTTATAACATATACATATCACATGTTGATTGATGCACATATCACATGTTGATTGATACACATATCACATGTGTATTGATGCACATATCACATGTTGATTGATGCACATATCGCATGTTGATTGATGCACATATCACATGTTGATTGATGCACATATCAAATGTTGATTGATTGATGCACATATCACCTGATGATTGATGCACATATCACATGTTGATTGATGCACATATCACATGTTGATTGATGCACATAACATATCACATGTTGATTGATGCACATATCACATGTTGATTGATGCACATAACATATCACATGTTGATTGATGCACATATCACATGTTGATTGATGCACATATCACATGTTGATTGATGCACATATCACATGTTGATTGATGCACATATCACATGTTGATTGATGCACATATCACATGTTGATTGATGCACATAACATATCACATGTTGATTGATGCACATATCACATGTTGATTGATGCACATAACATATCACATGTTGATTGATGCACATATCACATGTTGATTGATGCACATATCACATGTTGATTGATGCACATAACATATCACATGTTGATTGATGCACATAACATATCACATGTTGATTGATGCACATATCACATGTTGATTGATGCATATAACATATCACATGTTGATTGATGCACATATCACATGTTGATTGATGCACATAACATATCACATGTTGATTGATGCACATATCACATGTTGATTGATGCATATAACATATCACATGTTGATTGAAGCACATATCACATGTTGATTGATGCACATAACATATCACATGTTGATTGATGCACATATCACATGTTGATTGATGCATATAACATATCACATGTTGATTGATGCACATATCACATGTTGATTGATACACATATCACATGTGTATTGATGCACATATCACATGTTGATTGATGCACATATCGCATGTTGATTGATGCACATATCACATGTTGATTGATGCACATATCAAATGTTGATTGATTGATGCACATATCACCTGATGATTGATGCACATATCACATGTTGATTGATGCACATATCACATGTTGATTGATGCACATATCACATGTTGATTGATTGATGCACATATCACATGTTTATTGATTGATGCACATATCACCTGTTGATTGATTGATGCACATATCACATGTTGATTGATTGATGCACATATCACATGTTGATTGATGCACATTTCCTATACTGGGTCTGGGTCCATGTCATAAAAAGATAAAAGTTGGTGAATTAAAGGTTGCTGAATGACCCCCCCCCCCCCCCCCCCCCCCCCCCAAAACACACACACACATGCACACACACACGCACACACACACTTTTGTTACTTCTTAACCATTTTGTGGTGCCCTAATATAATATGCTGTATAGCTATATAGTTGAAAAGGTTTTCTCGGATTTAAAAAAAAAGATGTCATGAAATTAATTGGATGAGTTGGATTGAAATCACATATATTTTAACCTAGCTGTACATCACAACACAATGTACCAACCACCATTTGAAGAGCAGACACAAAGAAGAATATTGCTGCACAGAAGTAATATCTACTCACCCATGATACATTGTTTAGAACTGTATAAAGAGTCAGTCACTCTAGAGGTTTAGAAAGAACAACATTTACAATGTCACTTTGATCACCACAGCTATCAGACAAAACAGTCTTTAGAAAAAATTTCAGATCCTTGATGTCATGTATGTAGACCAAGAAGAACATGCGGATACATGAACAGAAAACAGGCGTCTCAGATGATTATCAAGCATAATAGTCCTTTATGTTGTGAATAGATGACATCTGAAGGAAGTGTTACGTACGTGATGCAAAAGGTTATATGTTAACAATGGACACACAAAACAAGTGCGGGATGTTCTTACGTGTTACATTTACGACCCGGGGGATATCTTGTTTGTTTACCTTCTTAATTGTTTATTATATGTCAAAATCGGAAATGTAAAAACACGTACATAAAGCATACACTTTTATTAATCTTCTCTTTCTCCACTTTTTTCTCTATTTCTTAACCTCTTCCGATGCTTCTTTCTTTTCTTCTATTATTTCTTCATTTACTCTACCTACTTTTCCTTTTTCTGCTTTTTTTCCTTTTTCTTTTATTCGTCTTTTTCTTAGTACTGCATCTTGTACTTATCCTTTTCTTTCTGCAACTTACTTATCCTTCAGCTCCTTTTGTCCATCTCTGTTTTTTCTTCTTCTCTTCATCCTTCTCCTTCTTAGTCTTCTATTGTTGCTTATTCTTTTCAATCGCCTCCCCCTCTTTCTCTTTCTACCTTCTCTTTCTCTGTCTTGCTCCTTTCACCCCATCCTTCTTTTTTTCTTCTTCTTCACTTGCCCAGAGATATTTGAACAGATGAACCTGGTTCTGAATTGTTCCACTCTAAAACACTAATTGTAACACTCTAGTGCATACCTGTTTACGGATGAGGAAGCATATATAACTGCTTCAAACAAAAACTGCCACAGCTTGTAAGTGAACTATTTGATCAGTGTATGGAAAAGATTTAGAACATCCTTCTCTACATCTTCCACATTTGCCACTTCATACTGTCATTTACAGCTGGGCTGTCATATGTGTGCCTTTCAGCCAAACATATTTGGATTCACTTAATTCCAAATTAGTTGCCTTCTGCAACATGCCTGTTGTGGGGCAGAGAGCCTATCCCCCCCCCCCCCCACACACACACACACACACACACACACACACACACATGGGGCCCCCAAAATTCCATGAAGGGATATATAGGAAATAAAGAATAGATAGGAAAAGCTAAACAGCTTTCGAAAATAAACAAGTCTTTTGAAATAAATCCTTCTTATTGATGGTTAGAAAAATAATTCTTGTATGTTACATGGACCACGTTTTAACAAAGGCTGTGAATTCTGGAAAAAAACTAGTAAACAAACAAAACATTCCTTTTTGTGTTTTTAGGGATATGTTTTTTTTTTTTAGAACAATGCTGAAAACTCCTGGGACAAAAGCAATCCAAGTCATTTTAAAACACATTGAAACTCAAAGAAAAAACATAAATAAATATAGGTCTAAACTGAGAGTGTTAAAATAAACCTCTAAGAAAGATTATTACTGGGCATAGTAAATTTTATTGTGTACATTCAATGTAGGAAAAGGAAGCAACATGCACAAATTAGACCAAATGTTTCCACAAGAAAGTCTTTATCAGAGAGTGGAACATCATCAGAGGGCGGAACATGTTAATTAAACAAGCAACGAGATCAGGAAATATGTCCATTGTTAAAGACTCTCTGTTTGTAACGTTTGGTTATATTTGTGCATTTTATTTTCTTTCCCTCATTGAACTTTCAAGTCATATTTTGTTTTGTGTTTTGTTGCTTTTTAATATGAACTCAGCTGCAGTAACTCTCTATTATGTGATCACTTGTGAGGTATTGTGTATAGCTTGTTAGCCTTTCTGTTGCAGTGAACCTGGAGTCCATCATCCTACCACCAACTCCGCCCGGCAGCTCGGGCAGTGACAGTGAGGGCAGTCGCAGTCCACAGATCTCTGCTCCTTCCAGTCCTATGGGACAAGCATCCTACAGGCATTCATCTTCATTATCTCCAGTCTCTGACACCACATTCACACAGCCACTGTTTATCAATCCAGTGAGTATTCTCGATATATGGTAGTAGTGGTGGTGGTGGTAGTAGTGGTGGTGGTGGTAGTAGTGTTGGTGGTGGTAGTAGTGGTGTGGTGGTGGTGGTAGTAGTTGTGGTGGTGGTAGTAGTGGTGGTGGTGGTAGTAGTATTAATAGAAGGGATTGATGAAGTACTAGTTGTAGTAGCAGCAGCCGCCACAGCACATCTCACTTGGTGTGAATTCATTTCTTCAGTAGGCAGATAATGAACAGAAGAAGATAAAAGAAAGATTGGCCACAAAGGCATTAAGACCAGGGGTTTTTCAATCAGCTAATTCTTTACAGCAGAGAATTCCAGAGAAATTTGACTAAAAAGCTAAACAAAATGGGGAAGCAGAAAAACGTGCACAAAACAACACAAATAATATAAGGTTTCTGGAATTCCTTGTATTAGCTTGACTGCAGTCACCCCCATATCTTTACAGCAGGCATGTCAGACTGTTGGCCCGCAGGTCGCTTGAGGACCTTTTGCAAGTATACCTGTGGAGCCCGCACAAAGAAAATATTAGACACACATTTTTATTAAATAACTCCAATTCATTGTTGTTATTGGCCTTTATGACAGCTAAATTCGACCCCTATGGCCCTTAAGGGACCCTCATTTTTACATAGCTGCTTTACAGAACGTCACTCTTATCATGGCACATCTGAAAGTCTCTCTTTCTCTAGCCAGTTTTCTGGTCGCATACGCTTTCTTAGCCAGTGCATCTTCAGTGTCTTGTATCTGCCTTTACAGGGGGGGGGGGGGGGGGGGGATATAGCTATCACAACCTAGCTGTAAACCACAGCACAGTATGCCAACCAGGATTTTAAGGGCAATGCAGCAGAAGAAGAAGAGGAAGAAGAAAAAGCAAAGTTTACACAAAGTGCAGCAATTATTTTGGGTCACATATTGATTACAACTGTATCACTAATTGTATGGGAACATTTACATTATGCCACATCTGTGCATGGTATGTTCTCAATGTTGGCTTGTGTGTGCTTGGTGTTAGTTTGGTTATTTCTGTACTTGTTTTGTGTGAAGGTCGTGAAGTGTGTCTGATGATTACATCATGGCATCATTGTTTGAATATTAACAACAGGGATGCTTCGAGCAGAGTGGCAAGCTTCACTGAAAAAGTCACGGGTAGTGAGCATACTTTGGATCTTTTTGCCATGCTATGCCGGCTTGGTGGGTAATGAACAGGCAGTCAGATTGGCTGGATCTGCACCACTGGGTGGTGAATTGATACACGAAAAGGCAGATGTGGTCACAGCCCTTTGGGAACAAGCAACGGAATCAGTAGAGATAAAAGATTATTATGGCCTGGAGAGAATGGGGCATCTGGATGTAACCAGAGGGTCTGGCTGGCTCACAACACTCATAGGAAAGGCAAGACGGACATATAACCAAACTATGCCGGTACCATCAGTATTGGAACTCTGTGTTGGCTGCTGAAGATGAGGACGAAGCATGCATGGGAATACCCAGAGTGCTGTGATGTCAAATCTTGACTCAACTCAACTGTTTGAACATTAAGTATTATGGCTTCAGCTCTTTTAGTCCCAGACAGTTTCTGTCATAAAGTGTCTGCCCTCTAGAGCAATATTCTTTGTGTGATGAATTTGAAAAACCACAATTATGTTATAGTTTCTTCTTCTTCTGATCAGCGTTCACTTGCTGTAAACTCCAGCAGAGAGTTTTGGTTGTTCGTCCACTTCTGTACTTTGGTCTTGTTCTAGAATTTGAGTTTTATTTGCACATTAAGTTTTTAAAGATCTGGCTTATTTTTATGCAGACTATTGGTTTCTCACCTCTCAGGCAGATGCACTCCAACTATGAAGGAAACACCCATAATTAATCCACTCTTATGACATATGAGAAGGAGGAGGGGGCGAGGAATCTTCCCCTCACACACAATAGGGCCCTGGAATCCACATGGGAAATGTGATTATATGTGTTAATATACCAGCTTGCAGTGAAGGAGTTAAAAGTAACATTGGAACAAAAGAATGAGTCAGAACAAGTTAAGAGAAAAGGGGGGGGCAGACCTACTGGTTTCAATAAACATACTGTAAAAATGGTGACAGATTCAGGATTGTTAAAATCTGATTTGTTTAGGTTGAAAGGCACAGATATTGCAGTTTAGCTGTAAACCACAATAGAACCTGCCAGCTCATAACTCTTTTAATCCCAAATGATTGTTACTTTAACTCGTTATATCCTTGAAAATTATTTTTGAAAGTATAAAATGTGTTGGTCTTCAGTAGTTCCACAAGAAACGCTACCAGAAGGGGTTAAAACTTCTGATGCAGTGAATTAATTTAGCAATTATCCGTTACGGAAATGATGCATCTCTTGATACTCAGGGAGTGAAGGGTAAACACAGAAGAGACAAAAACCAGTCAAGCGGGTTATTTGTGACTTATTTAGTCTGACTCCCATCTCTTGATACTCAGGGAGTTAAGGGTAAAGCCAGAAGAGACAAAAACCAGTCAAGCGGGTTTTTGTTGTGACTTATTTAGTCTGACTCCGATCTCTTGATTTGTCCTCACGACACTTGCATTAAATTCCAACAGTTGTTTCTTCAGACAGAACAAAACTTTATTTTCAGAGGGCCACAGTTTGGACAAGCTGGCCAGTCTTACTTTCAGCCCTTCCATCCACTCATCCTTCACACGGAAATTGTATCTTAAATACTTTTATTACATAACACTCATTTAGCAATATACTTGATATGAATAATAATTAAAAACATCATATTGCATGTGTGCATATAGTATTTCTATATCATCATCATGCTGGTCACCTTCATTTCCCAGAATATTTCCTGGTACCCATTTTATTTTAGACCAGGTCAACCTGGAAGCCAATACCAGTTACGAAAAATGCCCCTCTATGCGGATTGAAACCCAAGACTTTTGAGTGAACAGTTGCACGTCTAGCCATTTCACTACCACAGCTCACCATTTCAGCCCAGGGCGTATTACATTTGTGTGTCTTAGAATCACTGCACCTTTCCCTCACTAAAACGGAACTGCAGACAGTCCATCTGTGGTTTCCCACATTGAAAAAAAACAAAAACCTAACTTGCTGTATAGTCTGTATGTTGTAAATCATTATCAACAGTGTACAGGCTTTCTGCCCAGCAGCTAGAAGCTGTGCAAAAGGTCTGTTTATGTGGAGTGAAAGGGCGCCATTTATTTACACGGCTCAGTGTTTCTCATTTAGTGGTCCATGAACCCCGGGGGTCAGTGGAATAGATGTAAGGAGTCTGTGATATCATTTTTGTAAAAACACTCACATTTAGAATGCAGTCCATGGGAAGGCTAAGCCAAGCAACAGATGCTTGAAGAAGTTTCATGTGTCTGCCGAAAGGTGCAAACATCACAGCCAAGCTGTTACAGTTACATCCTCGGAGGAACACAGATGAAGAAGACAAATGCTATCCTTTTTTGTATGCTTTTTTTTTATTTATTTTATAAATTCTTCAGAATCATAATTAAAAAGTATGGAGTCTGTGTGAGACCTTCGAAAGTAAGTGTGGTCCGCACGTTTTAGCTGCTTGGGAACTACTGACATAGCTTATTATATGCAGAAGACAACAGCTGTCCCTTCCCACCGATCAACTGATAGCCACAATACACTGTTAGCCACTTCAGCTTGAAACTGCTCATTTGTGTGAGAGTAATTGCTCTCACATTTGTTGTGGGGTTTTGTTTCAGTTATCTGCTTTGCTGATTCTAAGTGAATTTTTTTTTAGTTTTATCTTTTTCTTTCCATTCATTGACTGTAATCTCCAGAAGAAAGTTTGTGGTGTTTTTCCATCTCCGGACTTTGGTCTTGTTCCAGAACCTATATGTTGTGTGCACATCTGTTTTACAGATCTGGATTATTTGAATGCAAACTTTTGGTTCCTTGCCTCTCATGCAGATGTACTCGGGCTTTTTGGGGAGGCAGTGGGTATATTCTTGTTTTCCCCACAACGGGGACCCAGAAGCCACACAGAAAGTCTGTATTATTTCTCCTTATTTTTCTGCGCTCACTCTTGGTTGGCCCATTGTGTTATGGTTCAGAGCTAGTCTGCAATATCTGCATTTTTCAGTCCAAGGCATCTGATTTCAGCAAACTCTTGTCAGCTTTCATGATGTGCTTGTTAAAATAGTAGCAGATCTATTCATTTTTTTTCTGCAGAAATGGGGCCTGTACACACAGAAGAGAGTTTTGGGGTTTAGAGTTTGTCAACTGCTTTGCAGTTCTAAATGAATCAGTAAGGTCCCTTTTCCACTCCTTTTATGCGTATTGAGAATATAGGGCTAGACGTATATTTTTATAGACCAATCGGCACTTGGTGGGTGATGTGGTCAGCATCACACTGGTCTCCTTTACTTCTCAGGACAGTACCTGGTAGCCACTCAAGGCCTGGTCGACCTGGGAGTCAAGGTCATTTTTGAAAAAAAGTCTGGTTCCATCAAGATGCGAACCCATGACTTTCTGATCTACAGGTGGGTGTCTAGCTGCCAACGCCACTGCGACTCCTCAAGTGAATCAGTGCTCAAAGGAAAACAGACAGACTTGTAATCAGGTAGCATCTGACACTTTAGAATGGGAACTCTTCATTAGGCTGTTGAGGAAGAGACAGAGCATGTGTGGGAATGCACCGAGTACAGTGATGTCAATTTTTGATTCATTCGTTTAAATGAATAAGTTTATATCTGCCTCCAGAAGACAGAGAAGATAGCGCTATATTGGACACGTCTTGAGGAAAATAAATAGAAAATCACCAAACAGGCACTGAAATGGGGGAAAATGAATTGAAGAAACAGGGACATCCAAGAGAAACGCATAAACAAAAAAATAGCTGGTCCATGCAGGGATATATTCACTTTTGAGTCCCTTGTTAGCATACGTTGTTTTCTAATACAAACTTTAGGTTTTTTAGTGACTTGGAATTCATGGTGATAGTTTTACTTTGTTGACACCAAAAA